TTGCAGAAGTAACAAATAGACCAACCATAGAAAACCCGAGATACTACAGAAACATAGACGAAGAAGATATAGAAATAGTTCGAGAACAAGAAAAATACAAATTTCAAGAAGTATTCTACCACAATATTACGCAAGAAGAATACTACCAAAACTACAGAAACAGAATACACTTCATTAAAAAACCAACAAAAGAACAAAGTACCCAATACGACCCTGATGACTTCCATGAGTCAAAATTCAACTACTATAATACCTTCAAAACAAGAAGTGGAAAACTTATTATCTACCTTTCTACAAGAACTTATTGAAATAGATAACAAATCCATAATTATATACGGGAAAATACCAAGATCATATAACCCAATCTACAATAAAAAAGTACTCAACAGAGTAACAAACCCTCCAGATATTAAAATAGTACAAAATATTCAGCATAGACATAATCAGTTACAACAAATAATCAAAACTATAAAACTAATTGAAATACCTTTACTAGAAAAAGAAAGACTGACACTCCAAAATGCATATGAAAATAACAAATATTTAAATATCCTAAAACTTCAAAAAGAATTATCAGAATTAGAAATAATACAAGAAGGACCTGATCGATACCTATATAATAGAAGGTACCCATCAGACAATAGTGATAAAACAATAGAAGCCGAAGTGCGAAAAGACGCATTTTATTATAAAGCCAAACTAAATACATACCAACGAACCAGAAGCCTAACACCAACATATGACATAGACTGGCCACCGCATACTTATTAAATGAAAATTACCAAAAATCTAAAAAATAAATATTCAATTGAAAATCTAGAATACAAGGGTGTGGCGACTTAGAGTAGTGGTTAAGTTGTTACCTCCCAAGCGGCAGGTCTAGAGTTCGAATCCCACCGGAAACGTTTTTAGAAAAATAGGCCTGTGTTCTGGTAACAATTATTCGACAATCGGTTGGGTATATTACCTGTAATCTTGGTACTACCATCTCGAAATGGAAGCTCTTGGGCGATCCAAATCCAAGGA